CAAAAAGTTTTAAATATTTATATTTATTCCCTTGTCTTTGATTTCTTTATATTAGTAAGCATGCAATATCATTGGAATTAATAAGCTTAAAAAAAAAAAAAAAAAAAAAAAAAGGGATAAACAACCGAAATTTCATTAGACAATACAACCCATTCTGAATTCATCTATTCTCTTAAAAAAAAAAAAGGCTCTAAACATGATGAATCAACAAGGTAAATCATATTAAGAAAAATGCTAACCCAAAACATTCATAGTATGCACGAAAATCATACGGGCTTCAAATTAGAAATGCCTATCATTATATGATTTTCTACTTTGAGTTTAGCCAAATCATTATCAGATTAGAAAGCCAGTATGAGAAGCAACAAAGTCATAGTCAAACCTTTAATTCTTGATTTTCTGCTTTGAGTTTAACCATTAACTCATTATCAAAAATGGGGACCTCCTGAGTGACAGACTGCTCAGCCACTTTCATGGCAGCCTCACTTTCATTGACAGCAACATGTTCGGCCACATTCTTTGCAGCCTCACGTTCTTTGATTAGCAATGCCTTTGTAAGATCTAGAGTACCTCATATGTTTGACAGTTAAAGGGGAAAATGGAAGGGATCCCGTGGAAGCAAGCAGTGGTCAAGGAAGAACTGAAGCAGAGGAGATAGAAGATCTGGAGAAGATGGAGTAGAAAACATAAGGCACCGTTAGGAAGGAAGGAAGGAAGGAAAGAAAGAGAAGATCTTGACCGAAGAAATAATCCGTTAGTTTTCATTACATTAAATTTTTCGTTAGGTGAGGTCTATTATTTGTAGGATAAAGTGTATAATTTTAGTGAGTTGTAATGGTCTCATTGGATGGGGATACCATCTGATGTGGTATCGTACAGTAAGCTTTCTCTTAAAATTTCGACGGTGGAGCTAACTTGGTGCTTATGTTGTGCCTACCTAGCACCGATTAAGTTACCACGGAAGTACCATGCCCTCAAACAAATTAACATTATTAATGGTACTAAGTTAAAATCTTTTGGGAAGTTAGCGAGTTATTGAGTTTTTTTAACATATATTTTTAGGATATAACTTAATATTATAAATAAATATATTATTTTTTATAAATTTTTGTTAAAAAAATAAAAATTAATTTTTAATTTATTTATTATTTAATTAAATTCATTCATGTGATATAATAATTAAAATTAATATTGATTTTTTATTTTTTTAATATTAATTTATGATAAAATATACTTTTATTATATTTTTAATGTATATCTTTGCATAGGTTAAAAAAATACTAGACATTAATTAAAGTCTATTCAAGTCTTCTCACTGAGGTTCCATTCATTTTCTTTGAACATTACCCATGAGTAGATGAAATTTTTGCAAAACATTAATTGATAGGAACCTTGCCAAATATTATTGGCAGTAGGTTTGAAAAGCCTTCGGGAAGTGTAGTTATTTTCTCCGACCCCACACATTGCCATATTCTTTTTCCGTTTTCTCTTCACCTTCCTTCCATCTTCCTCCAAACCCACAGTATTGACTAGTTCTTTGGTATTTTTAGCAGTCTACCAAAGAAGTGGACCGTCTTTTTATTTCCGCGTGGGAGGTTATACTTTGTGAATCATTAGAAGGGTGAAGCTTCTGGGAAGTGAAGTTATTTCTAACCAATTAAACTTGAAATCTTCTTTGTTCTTGTATATAAGTGATTCTCTAGCCTCAGATTAACCCACTGGCCTCAACAACAAGCACTCGAGGTACGTTTTTTCATCAGTTCTATGGGTTATTAATTTTCCTCCTTTTTTTTACTGTTTCATTTTTGTTACTAAGTTCCATTCAAGGTTGGACAATGCATCTTAAAAAAAGTTGATTCTGGTTTAATTATATTAAGACTTTTGTAGATTTTATTTGGTAAATTGGCTTGCTTGTTTACAATAAGTGATTGTATATATAACAAGGTTTCTTCGTTTCTTCTGTTTTCCTATTAAGAAGACACAAGAGAAGGGAAATAGAAATAAGAGGGATGGAAATTACGGAAGGAAATGATCACACTGTAGTTGTTGACATGAGGGAGTCGTTGACTTCATACGAATCCCTGGTAAACATGGATGATTTGACCACAGAGAATAGAATTTATAATCAGATTACCTCGACGAAACATTGGCCTTCCATCTTTCAAATTCCGAGCACGCTCTACAAGTCCAATAAGAAGGCTTATCTTCCAAAAGCATTTTCGTTCGGGCCATGGCACTATCGCAAACCTGACCTCGAGGCCACACAAGCAATTAAATTCCGCTCTCTTCAACTCCTCTTAAGTGGTTTCCCAAATGCGACGACAAAGTTAGTAGAGTTGGAGACAGCAGTCTCTACGGGGCAGTTGGAAGCTCATGCATGTTATGCCAAAAAGGTTGATTTAAATGATGAACTATATTTGTGAAAATTTTGGTGCTTGAACTATATTATTGTAATTGCACCAAACCCGAAGTCCTTCTTCAGTCCGCGCTTGCACTTCGGAATGACCTGCAAAGCCTCGATGTGGAACTCGGGGTAGACACTCCGATGCTTAAGTCAGCAATAATCGGGGCTACCTTGAAGGCGGAGATAAGAAAAGCTTAAGGTTGGTTTCAATTACCTTTCTGAGGTGGCCCTTGAGGGGTATTTATATGTTCCAATGGAGAACCCGTGTTGGCCTGCCAAGCGAGATACTCGGGACCGGGAATTTGAGACATATTCAGGTGTGGGCGTACACACCATAACTATTGTACAGCCTGTCATAAGAAATCAGGTGCGTGCCTGTTCACGGTGACTATTATGCAGCTGGGTTTACTTTTCACTTCGATTGTTGAAGATTTATTTAGTACGTCCGAGGTGGGCACCTCGGACCTATCCTTACAATTATTGAATTGGTTCGCGGGGTTCCTATGATGCTGATGACGCCCTATTTCCTCCAATGCTTACAACATGACTTGATTTTTCTGGAAAACCAAATACCTTGGTTTGTGCTAGAGCTTTTGTTTGACCTGACTAACAAGGGCAATAACCAGAGAATGCTCTCTGAACTGGCCGTTTATTTCTTTAGTAAAATGTTCTCGCGTGAAGGACTTCCTATAGAAACTATCCTTCTCAAAATGGAAATGGTCGGTCATATTCTCGATCTGTTAAGAAAGTGTTTGTTTCTATCTTTCTTAAAAGATGAGATGAAGGAATCCATATTTGACCGTCTGCTAAAAGTAGTTGGCCGTCCGCGAAAAGAAGTTCGCCTCAAGTTATTGCCTCTCATTCCAAAGAAATTAATCTCAAGAGCACCAAGGCCACGGGCCTTGGAACCGCAGCTTCCCTCTGCCAGCAGGCTTAGAGAGGCTGGCATCAAATTCAAAAGAGGTCAATCATGGCCTATCTTGGATATAAGACTTCGGCAAGGTGTTCTTGAAGTCCCATCTCTGTTAATCCATGACACCACTGAGACCATCTTTCGAAACCTCATTGCGTTTGAGCAGTGTAATTATGGTATCCATGGTGTTCGTGATATAGTCACCTCTTATGCCAAGCTAATGGATAATCTCATTGACACAGTTGAAGATATAGACATATTATGCAAGAATGGCATTATTTGCAACTCATTGAATCCAGTGGATGCAGCTCAGTTCTTCAACAGGTTATACAATGACACACATATCAGTCACCCACGTTACCATGACGTCTACGAGGATGTGAATGATTGCTGCCAGTGGTGGTGGCCTAGATGGCTAGCCTTTTACATTCACAATTATTTTGCCAGGCCGTGGGCCATTTTTTCTCAAATATTTGCGCTACTTATCTTGGCTCTTACCATCTTACAACTTATACTTAAGTAACTTATTCCTCCCTCACCTTTTGTCCTTCCCACTCCCCCCATCCTCTCACCCCCTAGGAGAAAAAAAAAATCCTTCCTTATTTTATTTAATTATGTTAATTGCTTTATTTGCTTTGGACTAGGTAGCCCCTTTGCGGATGTTGTGGTATGTAGCAATGTAATTTTCATTATCTATGTATTCTGTGTTATGATTGATATTCAAATGAAAAAGACATAGAATATGAAAGTGAATCCCACTTTAAATTTGGGTGTACCAACTTTTGTTTCTTCCAAAAAAAATTCCTCCTTTGCTGATAAATAATAATAATAACAACAAATTCCTCCTCCTTAAGAGAATGAGAGGCTTCAAACAGATAAGCTCTCAAAATATATATACTGCACTCAAAATATAGATCCAGATAAGCTCTTCAAACCTATAAGGCTGATACGATTGCTTCTCTCCCATCAAATCTATCTTTACAAAAGATACCAATTTCCAAAAGCTCATGGCATTTGTGATTTTGTTAATAAAATTGAAAGCTGAAGTGAGACTGCGGGGTAGGGTCCTGTTCTGGGGTTTTGGTGTGGACTTCATTCTAAAGCCCAAAGGCCTAAAAAACTAAAGCCCAATCAAATATTTTTGGGAAAATCATTGTCCGGTTTAGGCCTAACCCACCCACTTCATTTTCTCAAAGCGGACCCGGGTTTTATTTGATGAAGATCCTGTCTTTCGCTGCGCCGGTGCTGGTATGTTTTTCAGATTTCCGCTTCGAGGAAGATTGTGGATTGGTTGGAAGCGACAGTCCTAGAAGCTAGAAATCAGAATGGCTAGCAGAGTTTCTCGCTTTTGGGGAGTGACTTATTTCACATTAGGTTTTCTAACCAACATCCTTACAAAATATTAGAAGTACAATAAATATTTTTTTT